TCTCTCTCTCTCTCTCTCTCTCTCTCACACACACACACACACACACACACACACACACACACACACACACACACACACACACACACACACACATCCTACCTCCCCTAAATGCCTACACGTTCGTGAATTTATCTATAAACCTACGTCACTCGCCGCAAATCAATCTCTGCAACCTCAGATCATTTGACACCGGGCACATGCCACGTTGAAACATGAGGCCATATGATCCACTAAGCTCAACACGGAAGGTCGCACAATACCTAGATTCTCTCTCTCTCTCTCTCTCTCTCTCTCTCTCTCTCTCTCTCTCTCTCTCTCTCTCTCTCTCTCTCTCTCTCTTTTTTCATCCTACCACCTCCCACCCTCCCCTGAATGCCTGCACGTTCGTGCATTTATCTATAAAACATATGTCACTTGCCGCAAAACGATATCTGCAACTTAGCATCATTTGACACCCAGCACAAGGCACGTCCAACCATAAGGCCGTACGATCCCGTGTGTGGGGTCTGGACAATTCCAAAGACTTCACTATTGGCCGCTGAAACGGTTCAACACGAAAGGTAGCACAATACCTTGGTCCTCTCTCTCTCTCTCTCTCTCTCTCTCTCTCTCTCTCTCTCTCTCTCTCTCTCTCTCTCTCTCTCTCTCTCCGCACACCCCCAAAAGAAAGTCCAAAACAAACACGTCTTCCTCAATGGATCTGCTTAATCCTTACTCGCTTCCTCCACTGGCACTTTCCCAATGCCTTCGTCAGTCGAGGAATTTGCAGCAATGCTACTAGCATCAACCGCGCTTTTCTTCCTCAACACCCTCCTTCGGACAAACTCACACTTGTCTCCAACACAACGCACGGTTGACATGCCCCCAGCTCCAGTCTCTGTATCATCACCACCGTCTCCTTTCGCAGAGCTTTCACCGTCCTTATCACTATCGGCCTCCTCGGGCAGTTTCTCCGTTTTTTCAGTCTCCTCCTCAATTGCCCTCCCACCCGACGCCCCTTCTGTGCCTGCCCCTTCTCCAACAGCACCCTTGTCATCTCTCTCTGCATCGCCGCCCTTGTTTTCTTTCCTGATTGTGTCATCTCCCTCTTCGTCGCCAGCTTTCCCTTCTGGTTCTGCAGCTGAGCTCGGTGCTTTCTCCTCACTGAACCTCCCCCCCGCCTGCTCACTTTGTTCGCTTTGCCGGCTGCTATCGTCATCCTGCACCTCACTTTGTTCACTTTGCTTGCTGCTATCTTTTTCCTGGGCCTCGTCATTCTTTTCGAGAGCAAGGATCTCTCCATAATACTCCACATGTGACTCCATACACTCTTTCAGAACGCGCGTCTTTTCTAGACATTCCATAACTATGTCTTTCCCTTGCTTTTGTGTGTCGTCCACACATTTCTGCCATTCTTCAAACTCAGTGCCGCAGGGACCTGCCTTAAGAAACACACAAAAGCCACATTCCTCCTCCTCCTCCTCCTCCTTACTCTGCGCGCTGCCGGTCTCCTCCGACTGCTTGCCTTCTGATGCTCCACTGCTTTCTCCGAGGGCTTCCTCTTCACTCCTCGCGGTACGATCATCCCCTTGAATCTGGTCGCTCCCGTCACTCAGATTCCTACCTTCAGATTGCTCAGAGATACTCCTGGCGTCAACTTTCACGCTGCCCTTCGCACTGCCCTCGTCACCCTCAACCCCCTCTCCACTGCCGACATCGACAACCAACTCTTCTTGGTCGTTCGCATCAGCTCCCTTAGCATCACTCTCCCCTCTGCTGTTATCGCCTTCCCCTTGCGGGAGCGGAGTCTCATCTGTGGTGCTGGTTAACTTGGCCCCTTCCTCTTCCTCCTCATTTGCATCAGGCTCAGTAGCAACAGGCTCAGTAGCAACTACAGGTTCGTCCTCCTTGGCAGATGTTTCATCAACGTCGCTGGAAACAGATAGCCGACTTTTACTCTCTGTGGGTGTATGGGGTAGCTCTGAGGAGGCGGACTCGCCATCATCATCAGTGGGTGTATGGGGTAGCTCTGAGGAGGCGGACTCGCCATCATCATCATGAGACGACGTTGTCGCCGTCCTCTCCAAGGGTTCAGCTGGAAAAGCCGCAATCGACGCTTCCACCGAGGGTTTAGGAGGGCTACTGGTTGTGTCCTCCTTACCACCTCTGCCTGTAAAGCACCAACAATAAGAAAGGTAAGCCGAGATTATTGAAGCACACTTCGTCCACTTACATACCAAACAGTCCCAGAAGCACAGCAAGCAGGATCCCTTTCCCCACCACATGCTCTCTCTCTCTCTCTCTCTCTCTCTCTCTCTCTCTCTCTCTCTCTCTCTCTCTCTCTCTCTC